GGCTCGTGTTTCCGCGTTTGACACAATATTAATGAGATTGTGATGTTAACGTGGGTTCAGGATTCGCTCCAGAAAGAATAACGCAGCACGCAGGTGGACAAACACGCGTAAGACACCTTTACAAACACGACAGGACTCAACGAATAGAGAAAAACAATTAAATTTGACATGAGGGCTGTTACGCGAAATAGTCAAGCAGTAGCGCACAGTTTGTTGTCGAAGCCGATGAGGTTGCAGAGTTGAAGGCGCCGTGCGTAGACCATCTGTCCGATGCCGTAGCTCGGTGTTTGGTCTGGCAGCGTGAGGTCAAGAAGGTCCACTCTGTGGCCGTTGATGCCGGGGCTCTGCGCCCAAGGGACCCGCTCCACGGTGGACGCCCTCGGCCTGTGCGTGCTCGTGGGCCGAACCCTGAGTGTGCCCGTCTGCCCACAGCGTCAAGACCTTGGCCCGGCCTCGTGCACGTTCTCTGGCCCGATCTTCTCGTAGCGGAACAGGCGGGAGCGCTTTGAGTCGAGGCAGCAGGAGGTAGGGCTCCGGGTTCTCCCATGGACCGGACGCCCAGCGAAGGAGAGCCTAGCCTTGCAATTCCGACTCTCGTGCACGGCCCACACTGTCTCGAGACACGCCGCACACACGATCGCCGTCCGCTTCACCACGGCACGGCACATACGCGATTCGCCGCCGCACGGCGTACTGTTTTGTTTTTGCACATTTCAACCCGCACGCACCATATATTATGACAATACCCCCTTTTTCAAGAAAGTTGTTTACAACTATTCTAAAAGAGACGTGCGAGAAGAAAGAGTTAATGCACAGCACGCTTTCCAGTTTGTGTCGTTGAGTTTGTTGCTACATGTTAAGCACGACTCATGTAGTCTGCTTCTACATTGTCACAGCCTTTTATGTATTGAACATAAAAGGAATATTCTTGCAAAAGGAGACTTCATCTTAACACCCTATTGTTCAGGTGTTTGGCAGTATTCAAGTACTGTAAGGGCTGGCGGTCGGACTGCACAATGAATGGCTTTTCATTCAGGTAAATGTGGAACTTCTGCATGGCCCATACACGAGCGAGGCATTCCCGCTCGATTGTAGAATAGCGGGTCTCCATGGCCAATAAGTTACGACTAGCGTAAGCGACAGGGTGTAGCACTTGATCGTTTCCCATTTGAAGCAATACCGCACCCAGGCTCGTATTCGAGGCGTCTGTGCAAAGTACAAACTCCTTCGAAAGGTCGGGAGCGAAGAGTATTGGCGTATCACCGAGCTTCTCCTTTAGTGTCGTGAATGCTGCTTCTTGAGCTGGGCCCCACGATACATTGTGACTTTGTCCCTTCCTTGTGAGGTCTGTCAATGGCTTTGTTAGTTCGGCGTAGTTTAGTATGAACCTCCGGTAATAGCCAGTCAAGCCAAGGAATGACTGTACTGCCTCCTTGCTTGCAGGACGTTTAGTAGCCAGAATTTTCTCCGGGGTTTTGAGAAGAGGTTCGACTGTAGCCTTCTCAATGCGATGTCCCAGGAACACGATGCTGATTTCTCCTATTTCGCATTTCGTTGACTTGATCGTGAGATTGGCTTGTTTGATTCGGTCAAACACTTTTTTGAGGATGTCGATGTGTTCTTGCCTTGTGTCGGTAGCAATGACAACATTGTCGAAGTAATGATGAACGTTTTCGACACCACCCAGTACATCAGGCGCGCAAATACAGCCGGTGCCGTCTTGATACCAAAAGGCATGTAAAGAAAGTGGTAGAGACCAGATATGCTGGAAAAAGCAGTTTTCTCACAGTTCTCTGTAGACATTGGTACTTGCCAATATCCTTTCGTAAAGTCAAACTTGGAAAAAATTTGCTTTTGACCAACAAGTGCAAGTACGACATCACTGCGTGTTATTGGCTCGCAATCTGCGATGAGTATTTTGTTTAGTTCCCTGAAGTCTATGCAGAGCCGAAGCGTATTGTCAGGTTTCTTCACCACTACGATTGGTGCGTGCTACGGCGACTTAGACCTTTCAATGATACCCAACTTTAGCATCTCTTGCACTTCGTTTTCGCACTTTTCTTGCAAAGTAAACGATATAGGGTACTGAGGGACGTGCACCGGTTTATTGAATGTAAGACGAAGGGAACAGTCCACGAGCGCAGTCTTTCCAGGCAGGTCTGAAAAAATGTCGGCTTACTCTTCCAATAAGCATTCTACTTCTTCAACCTGTTCAGCGGTAAGGTCTGTGGCTACGTTGACATCAGTGCAAAATTGCGTGCGATGCAGGTTCAGTACTGGCATAGGGTTCACGTCATCTTCTTGTCCTTCGGTGGTGTTTTTGTTAACCTCTATGACAACTGACACCTGTTGGGGCTCGCTAGGCTCCCGTTCTTTGTAACTCTTGAGCATCTTTATATGGAATATCTTGTTTTTCTCAAAGACGTCAATGACGTAATTCACGTCATTTCTTCGCTCAATTACTGGGAATGGTCCTTTCCACTGCATTAGAAGTTTATTGGAGTCAGTAGGCAACAATATGAGAGCTTTGTCGCCTGAACACAATTTCCTAGGACGACTCTTCTTGTTGTAGTATGTTCTGTGCTTGGCGCGAGCTTTTTCCAATTGTTGGTGCGCAATCTTCCACGTCTCATATAGCCGATTCTGCAAGTCAAAGACATACGTGTATGTTTTCCTTGTTTCTCCGTCGAGTTCCTCATTCGTCCACAGCTCTCCTAATACTGTCATCGGTCCTCGGACATGACGACCATAGATAAGCTGAAAGGGAGAGAACCCGAGGCTTGCCTGTGGTATTTCTCGGTACGCAAAAAGCAGCGGGGCGAGGTGCCTGTCCCATGATCTCGGTTTCTCTTGGCACATTCTCCTTAAAATCGTCTTCAAGGTGCCATTGAATTTCTCGGCGAGGCCATTCGCCATGGCATGGTATGGCGTCGTCTTGAGAAGCTTCACGGAGAGAAGCCGACTAACCTCTTTCATTAAGTCGGAGGTAAAGCTTGCTCCCTGGTCGGTGACTATTTCTTTGGGTAAACCGATGCGGGAAAACATTTCAATGAGCGCTTTGGCAATATGAACGGCATCGATTGCGGGAAGTGCTACAGCATCCGGATACCTAGTTGCGAAATCAACTAAGGTCAGAACGTATCGGTTCCGCCGGTCTGACATTGGTGAGAAGGGGCCGATCAGATCCACTGCCACTCTTTGAAAAGGTGTGCGGATCAGAGGCATGCTGCCCAATGGAGCGACTCCTACTTTTCCTTTAGGTGTTGTTCGTTGGCATATGTCACATGATTTCACGAAGCGTTTTACGTCTACGTGTAAATCAGGCCAGTAGAATTTTTGCGAAATACGATCGGTTGTTCTTTTGATTTCCTGATGCCCAGCCATGATGTTTTCATGGGCAACTTCTAAAATATTTCCTCGAAACGCCTTTGGAACTACCACCTGCTTAAATGTTCTACCTGTTGCAAGGCGGTAACGACGGTAGAGCAATCCATTTTCTTCCACGAATTCATTGCCTTAACCTTTTCCCGAATTAAATTCTTTGTTCACTTTACTAAAAAACGATTTTAATTTCGGGTCACTCTGCTGTCCCTCAATGGGTTGCGCTTTTGTGATGTCACTCAACAAAACCTCCGGGTTGTACAAGGGACGCATCTTGCTTTGTTTTTGTTGCCGAGCTTTGGATTTAGCGGCACTTGATGCCTGCGGAGGGTTCCTGGTCATGTTCATTTCTTTCCACTCTTCCTCAGCCGCATCTGCTCGCTCCCAGTCCGAATCAGGATCGTATGGTCCTCTGACGCCTGGAAGGTTTCCTAAAACCACATCGTACAGTAGTTGGTTCATACAGGCCACTTTTATACTGCCTGAAAAGTAAGGCGTTTTCACTTGTACACTGGCTTCGGGGAGGTGACTCCTTGAGCCATCAAGCAAAACGACACTGCGACACTGCTTGTCCGATGCTTTAGCTCGGTGTTTGGTCTGGCAGCGTGAGGTCAAGAAGGTCCACTCTGTGGCCGTTGATGCCGGGACTCTGCGCCCAAGGGACCCGCTCCACGGTGGACGCCCTCGGCCTGTGCGGGCTCGTGGGCCGAACCCTGAGTGTGCCCGTCTGCCCACGGTGTCAAGACCTTGGCCCGGCCTCTTGCACCTTCCCTGGCCCGATCTCCTCGTAGCGGAACAGGCGGGAGCGCTCTAAGTCAAGGCAGCAGGAGGTAGGGCTCCGGGTTCTTCCATGGACCAAACGCCCAGCGAAGGAGAGCCCAGCCTTGCAATTCCGACCCTCGTGCACGGCCCACACTGTCTCGAGACACGCCGCGCACACGATCGCCGTCCTCTTCGCCACCGCACGGCACATACGCGATTCGCCGCCGCACGGCGCACACATTCAAAAGGCCACACAAGTCACCACCGCACGGCCTACTGTTTTGTTTTTGCCTATTTCAACCCGCGTGCACCATATATTATGACAGAGATCTAACAGACAATAATGCCAAGGAAATTATAGAAGTTATTAAACCTAATTGTAATGTAAATGTGAAGAAAGAAAAGCGGAGGAAAAAGATAACTTGCCGTGGGCAGAAACCGAAACCTGCTCTTCCGGCCCTGCTCTTCATACTTCTTTCTCGGTAAAATACTTTGCGCAGTGTGCTGGCATATTCGCCCTAACTACGCACGCTAGACCGCTCAACCACGGCACATGAATGCACAGCTGGGCTCATGTTTTCCAACGAAAACGCGTCTAGAGGGCCGTTACTTCTCATGTACCAGTGCCGTTACTGCTCATGTACAGTTGCTTTCCCGCAAATGGTCAATTTGCAATGAGTGCCCTAGGGTTCTTTTGAAATTGCCTTTTTGGTATTACACTTCAAGTTTTAAGTTTTTGAGTCCACAGTTTAATCGTTAGTTGTAAAACCAGACTAATGTTTAAATTTGTTCTGGGCCCTTGAGACATTACTTTTTCATTCTGGCATACTTAGCTCTGTTTACATTTTGGTTTGCAGCTGCGAAAGGAAATTGAAAAGTTCATTGCAACCTACAGCGGATCCAACAAGATCTTTGATGTGTGGGGCAAGGACTTCCTTGAGCACCTGGATGCACAACAGCAAGCTCATGCACAAGAGAAGGAACGGGTGCGCCTCGAAAGGGTCTGTAGCATTTGCCTTTGAGGCATTCACTAGTCTAGCGCCCCAAACAATCTGATCTCTAAAATATTTTTTTATAAAAGAAAAAAAAAAGGCAGTTGTAAAATATTACCTGCATGTGATGCAAATGTGTTCCTGCTTTAATGGCGAGCCTAAGCGTACTTCAATAAAGGAAAATATTAGGCTTAACAAGGTAGCTGGTATAACGCAGCTGGATTTCGTCTTTCTTCGTCTTTGCAAGATTTGATTGTTGATTTTAATTTTATCTCTGCATCCGAAGGGAATTCGCACGATGCTGATACGTTGTTTCAAATCGGCTTTGCTTGTTTTCCTCGTCCTTTAGGAGAGCCGTCGCAAGGCTACACCTTCGGTCTTAGGCAGCAGCAAGAGGGCGTACTGTGGCACCCCCTCCAGCAGTGCCTCCAAAATGTCCCGGCTTGGAACCAGCAGTGCCACTCTTGCCTGCTCCAGCAGGCGCCTGGGCACCCCAGGGAAGAGCACCCGGTCTGCGCAGGGCGGCACACCATCTGCTGCAGCTGCTGCGAGGAACATCCGGCGGCGCTCAATAAAAGCACAGGTGTGTCCACTGAAAACGATATTCTAGTGCCAAAAAAATCCCACCGTTAAAGTGGGTTGAGACAAAAAGATCAGAAAGATCAAAACATTTTATTTGTGTGCAAGTAAGATAGTGCACTATGTACTACTTGATCGCAGAATAGACATACGTAGTCTGTCAGCTTCGAGTGCTCCACGTAGCCAAGCGGAAGGTTCTTTGCCGTAAGGGACCTTATTATCCTTCGAGCCTCCTGCGATGATAGTAGCTGGGTAGGCTGGCTGCTCAACCTCAACTGCACGGCCCAGTCCGTGCAGAGAGCCATTTTTGGTGCACTATAGCCAGATTCAGTCACTATATCTAATATCGTGGCTCTGGAGCGTTGTACTAAGTGGTTTATTTAATCATGGAACTCCTACCAAGGTGGACAACGGTGCCATGGTTAAATGTGATATCGTATTTACTTGCGTAATGAACTCACTTTTTTCTTCAAAAAGTTGGAGTCACTTTAGAGAGAGGGTTCATTACGGGGGAGAAAAAAAGTTACAATAGGTATAAGAGTTAAAATCTCACATGACGGTGTTCAAATACAGGCTCTTAATACCTCACCTTTTTAGAAGTAATGCTCTGCATGTTATGTACGAAGAAATATTTTGTTTTATTGATGCTACAAACTCTTAGGCTCTCCTACTACAATCGCAGTCACTCCTCCTCACTTATGTCACTTGCTGCGGCCGCCTCCTCGTCGTCTGACCTCAGCGCATCGTCTTCTGTGCCAGCCAGGCTGTTGGAGATTTCTGTCTTCTTAATGCTACGGATAATCATGTTGCTTGGAATTGGGCTCCACGCCTCCAGAATCCAGCTGCAGAGCATCTAGATGGATGGCCTCCTTATTTTACCTGCAGGAGTTGGGTCATGGTTGCCTTCGGCCATCCACTTCATGTACACCGTTGCACATTGTTCTTGAAAGGTTTTTAATTGAAACGTCAAAGGGCTGCAGTAGAGACATCAGGCCACCTGTAACCACTGCGATGTCCTTCATGCGGCGTCGCACACCCTCCTCTCGACAATGAGCAGTGACGGCAGTAGGAGAGCACCCGGTCGTCGTCCCCAAACTGTCTTCAACCAATCCATCATCAGCTTTGCTCACATCCAGTCCTTTCCTTCAGCACAGACGTGGATGCCAGCGGGAATGGCATTCTTGGGCAGTGTCTTTTTCTTGAAAACGGCGAACTGGGGCAGCTTCCTGCCATCAGCTGTGATAGCCAACATCACGGTGTTCTGTGGTCAGCTGCTTGCAATCAAACTTTTTCTGTGTGGTTCAACTTGCCACTGGATATAAACGACTTCCAGGGGTTGAAACAATGCCACTGCATCTGCCATGTAGCGCTGGTACTTGCAGCAAGCAATCTTGAAGGTCGAAAAGTGCCCTGTGAAAGTGCAATGAATATGCCGTTTGCCACTGCGGATAAGTATTTATTGAAACTCCTCGCAGGCAGTGGCATAGCGTCACACTTGATATTTTTTTTAACTGAAACAGAATGCAATCGACAGAGTTCAAGCAAAGATTTGGTCAAAATATATATCGTGAGTAACCCTAGCGCCGAACTGACATGCCGTTCGCTTCCGCTTGTGTTTACATACGCTGCACCCAATGACCGATGAAAAAACAACAGTTCCAATGTGCAGCATTGCTATGACCACCTAATTATTATGTCCTGCACCGAAAGTCGTGCACGCACGTATGCTTGCCAACAAATATCTGCACCCTTTGCCAATTTCACGGTGCTAAGTAACACTTGCTTACTAATGCAGCGTCGACGGACCCCCGTATCCCAAGCTCACTTTTCAACCTGACACGCTTGAAATAAAGCTACTTATCATTGGTCTGTCTGCCACAATGACGAGGTTGTTGGAATCTTGGTTGACACAGTCTTCAACCGTCTTTTCGTCGCTTGAGCTGGTAAAAAATGCGCAAAGTACACAACCTTGTTGGCGCATATGGTGATGGTACCGGTAACCCATTTACACTTGCACCCCACTGACACATGTGGACTACGCGGCAAGCAACACTCACAGCATTGACCGCGTGTGGAAGGGGCTGTTTGGTAGCAGACTATGACACTGCTCCTTCGACTTGCGACGTCAGGCATGCCATGACGAAATGGCGGTCGCCGGCAGTGATCGGAGTTTGCAGCCGATGACTTGTAAGGCTTATTTTGGATTGAAATATTCTCTTACAGTCCAGTTTTCACACGTGTAAAAGCATAATTGACACTCTACCTTCATATTTCGCTGTAAGCCGTCAATCGTTGGGTGACCATGTCATGACTCCTTAAGCATAGTCTGATCAGTGTTCCCAATTTGAAAAAGCAGGAAATTCTTTTCCTGGCAGATCTGGAAAACGAAATGGTGAAAGTTCTGCATCATGGCGCAGTGTATTCACACGTCACTTCTTGGGCTGTTCTTGACACGACGCAGTTTCTTGTACGAAAACTCGTTTGTCATGCATGAAGCGTACAGAGTAGGAGCAGATTTATCTACAGTGAGGTACGCCAACTTCAGGCTTGCATCAGGCTCCAACAGCGACTACCGCATTGACGACTCCATTTAATGCAACTCATTGTTTATTTTCATTAATTTTTTTTCTTTGTAAACATGCTTACACAGTGGCTAGAGCCAAGATAAAAGCCGCTATAAGCAGTTTGAGGAGCTCATATATGTAGCCCCTAGTCTTTTTCGCCTTGCGGTGATGCATTAGCAGGTGGACGATTGTAACGAAATTTTCTCGATAGCCTTGCACCTTACCAGAGAGTTCATATTGTTGTGCAAATGAAAATTGTCATTTTATTCAACGGTAATAATTAATATTATTACATGCGGAAGCAATCGGCAAATATGGCAGAGGTGACGCCATTGAGTATTAAGTGTATACAATTAAACCTGGATATAACGAAATGGATAAACTCCTGGAAAAATTCATTATAAAGAGGATTTCCTTATATGCAGGTTTGGTAAGAAAGTTCGTAAAACACGCAAATTAAACAAAAAAGGGACTGAAGGCACTGAAGGCAAAGCTATCCCGAAACACTTATTTTACAGTAAAAAAAACGCATTATTGCAATAGCAATTAAATGGACACTCTCGGCGGGTTTTTGCCATCGCCGCCATGTTCCGTAACAAGTCTAAATTGATGGCGTTCCCCCGCACATCGCAACTCTCACTAGTGGGTAAAAGCGCGCGAGCGCCGCTGAAGGAGAGATGAAATGAGTCGGCCCATCCCTATCGCCTGAAAAGGGCATAAAGTAACATCTCCCGCATGCTAGAACTGCCATCGAATGCTCAAATAGAAAGTAAGCCACCCGTCTTGAACAAGCCTGAAACAACGCTGAGAGGAGGGTGGGGTTCGCTCGAGTAACAATAATGAACTTGCATTTTAAGGTCGGTCGCGATTGCTGGCCCGCTTGCTATCTCCGCGAGTATCAGTGCGGTTTCAACACGAAGAAACTTCTCCCTGGAGTGGCCGTATTTGCTCACACTAGCGTTTTGTAGGAGCTCCGTGATACCGGACTCAAAAGAGTTTGCTGCCAGCCTTGCTTCTTATAACATTGCATTTTTTTGCTATCGCGTTCATCGCAAAACTACCAGCCTGTGAAACTCGCGGCACAGCGCTAGATGGAAGCACGTAAAAAGTCGACCTCCGAAGATCCGTCATCACAGTGGTTTCGAACAGTTTCCATCAGCGCCTAATCTGACATCCCTTCAGTTGTGAAGACATGGTTCGCTGAAATAAAAGAAAAGTCACGGTGTCGCCGCAAGGGCGAAGCAATGAATGCGATCGCAATAACTTGGAATGTAACGCTGATAACAGCAAGCAGATCGAAACGTGCAGTGCGTTGTTCACACGCAAATGACGCACGAAAACAACACACAGGACGAGAGCTAACTAACAACGTTTACAGCTCGACACTTGACCAGCTGTTTAAACAAAAACGTAGCACGAAACGTAACTACAGGTACATATATAAGTGCGAACTAACAAGTGTCCCAGTTGTTACATCGCTGTGTTTGAAAAACGCGCTCTTTTCGCAAATGAGGCCTGTCCAGCAAGTGTAGTGATTTTTCTGCATTCGGCAACTAAAAGCAATCTTTCTCTATACCGAAAGATAAGCGCGTGCGCACAAGCATCTGCCCCCCCCCCATTCGCCGGGCAAAGCACGTGTGGGAGAACAAGTCGGCGCAACGTGACAGGGCTGCTTTTTTTTTTTTCTTGAGCTTTCATAGACATGTACAGCAAACAACGGTGGCGGCGGCGGCATAAAAAACAAGAAAAAGCAGCAGAGCCTGTCCATATATTTACTATCGCAAAAAAAAAAAAAGAGCAATGCTGAATGTGGTCGGGAGCGGCCACACCATGTGCGCACAGTGAGACTATGCATGCGCGCACGACGTCGAAAATGAAGAGCGAAGGACAAAGACATGGATACCGCGGAAAACGATTCAGTAAAGCGCCCTTCTCATGTGGTGCGGCCCCACACATGTGATGTTAAAAACGTGGCACTGCCAACACGCAAAGTATATTTCTTTTCATTTTAGTTTGGAGTGTGTGTGGGGGGGGGTTCTCGTCGCCACGCATGCACCCGTGGCGACGAGAACGGCGGCAACGCCGACTCATGGGGTCCAGGCCCGCCTGCCCGCCTTGCGCTCCCCCAGGCTCAATAATGAGCACTCACTCTTGCCTGGTGCACCGTGCGTGCTGCCGCAGCAGCGTTCACGCTTCGGCGGCAACGGGGCAGCCACGTAAGATGCATGCTCTTCCCAAAATGCCAAAATGTGGAGCGAAATTCTTAGATTGTCCGTGGGAAAAATTCATTGTATCAAGGTTGTCTCCCGCTGTTACTTTGTTACACACAGGTCGCAAATTCATGTGCTTATATAGAGCAACTGCGGGGAATAAAAAACTTCGTTATATTCAGGTACTTATTAATTTTTTTATTTATTTATTTATTGATACTGTTAGCCAA